CCACACTTTAGGGATGCGAGTACAGCTAATATTATTCTTTGGAAAGAATCTGGAGTCTCTGACACATTGAAGCTTGAACTAATCAAGGCTTCCCAGTAAGCATATACACATATCCATATCAAGGAAACAGTGCTGAGAATACATGGATTAGCATAGTAATTTAACTGCCCCCTGCTAATCAACTTAAGCAACCAGCTGATGCATATATGATGTATTTGAAGAGGCACTCTTTCACAACTCCAGAATGGGCCAGGTAGCTGACCATGGATTTCATGTTAATGTCGAGATATGTATCTATCTGTCTATGTATAGATAGATATACATACATGTGCGTATACATGTACAGATGGGGGAGACAACAGATGCAGAACATATCAAGGCATTGCTTGTAAGAGCTTGACGTAAAGGCTTCATGTGCCTAACCCAACATACAGGGTTTACTTTTCAATGAGTATTGCTGGCCTCTCTTTTTAACTCTCTCTCGCTTATCTGCTAAAAGACTGAGATGATTTCTGCTGTTGAGGCTTTATCCTTGAGCAAAAATAAAGCACAATTGCTTTATGGAGGTCTGGATTGGGGCTTGCCTGTTACAGAAGGGAAAAAAACGTAGGACTGTTTTGTAGAAGCTTTGTGCAGCATACAAAGTGTGCAAGATCAGCAGTTGACTTCCAGTAGTCCTTGTTTTGGTGTGACAGCATTAGTGCCTACTGGGGTGGTAGAATACATGTGCTGGGCATGCTGCGATTAGACTGAGAAGAGGAAAAATTAGCAATGGATTGGGAAATAATGATTTTTTAAATAAGGTTGTAACAAGTTTGTGCTAGAGCTGAACACATTCAGGAGGAGGAGAGGAAAGGGCATACTCTGTTTTCTGTAGTCCAGCCCTTCTGATACCTACCCATGGATTCTGGCTTGCATGGTCTGATATAGCATGAAAATCTTACAGCGCGTGAACAAAGTGGAATTTAACCTTGAATAAATGTTATCGCAAGGGTTGTAGGTAGCAGGGTTACCAGACTATGGCAATAGAAAAGACAAAGCTGAGCTGGGTTGCATCATTGATCGGTAAAGTATTGAACAATGGGTGTAGGCACCTATTTGTTGCTAGCAGCCCATACCTTTCAGAAATGTGAAGTGAAAGAAAAATTCTTACTTGGTTTGCAGAATAAGTCACTTCCTCAATAGGTTAACGTCATAACATGGGGTGTGGAGTTTCAGAAGATGGCATTAAGGTGAAAGTAAAGCTTTTGGTGCTGACATGATGATGTAGAATTGATATTATGCTGGGTGTCCTTTTAAATTTTTGATTTTGCATCGTGGTTAGAAAGTGACTGGACATTTCTGTTCAAAAAGCTGTGAACTAGGTGGAAGATGTCAACATACAAATATTGCTGCTCTTGCAAGTCAGCCACCCAGCACGGAGTAATGGGGATGTGTCATCCAGGCGAAGATGTCTGGTAATTGTTTCCATTTTCCCATGATACCTAGGAAATGCTCCATCTTGGCTTTCACATACCAGTTTTCTCCTTCATGAACTTTGTTACGAAGATGCTCTTGCAGGAATTCATCACATGTAGCTTCCCATTTTACTAGGCGCAGTGTGAAAGATGGCTACAGGCTAAAAGTGCACTTTTGTGGCATTGCTCTTGAGTCCAGCAGGGTAGATGCTCATGAAAAATACGTTGTTTCCAAAGGGATTTACCAGTAATAATCTAAAGATGCCCAAAAAGGTGCTACAGCACAAACAAAGCAAAGCAAAGAGTTTGGATTAATCTGCAACATAATTGTCACCTGTAAGTTTGATTTGGTAAGCTTATTTGCAAAGTTAAAGGCTAATAAATAAAATCAGAAACAAGACCAGAAAAAAATTGGTAACTTTGCTATAAGTTCATTTAAAACCAACAAATTTAAAGGACCTGTACATATCTCTTATCCTGTGACTGCAACTCAATTTGCAGTCAAAGGAACCACAGCCATTTTGCTGCTTAGATATATCAAAGAGCAAATTGTTGAAAATATTTGGAATCAAACAGGAATACAGAGTAGCTTCTGAGCTCAGAAAGGTTGTCTTGTTTTGCTTTGGGATGGAGGAAAAAAGAAAAAGACCGTTTAGTCATTCAGAGACCCCTGGAAATGTTGGTTGAAAGGGACCTCTGGGAATCATTTGCGCCATCCTCCTGCGCAGTCACCAGTATTGGGTAACTTTAGCTGTGTCTTGGCATAGCTGAGCTTTGGAAACTTGAGAGGATGGAGATCCCCCAGCTTCTTTTGGTAGCCTGTTGCAGTGCTGCATCTGAACTTTGCAAGCTGTTTTGTTGGTGCTGGTTTATATCATCTACAACTACCAAGCATTTGGCTCCCTCATCTTTGTAAGTGTCTTTCTGGTAGCTGTAGGTAGCTATTAGATTAGACATTAGCCTCCTGTTCACCAGCCTAAACAAGCCCAGCCTCCTCAGCACTCATGAGCTGTGTGTATTAGACCTTTAACTATCCTGGCAGTTCTTTGCTGGCTCTTCTCCCCTTTCCCAGCAATCCTTTTGAAGTGGGAGACCCAGAACAGAGTACAGTGTTTCAGATGCCCATCACGGTGTGCCCAGCTTGTGGTTTGTGTTGAGTACAGCATTAACACACATTCTGGCATCCATTGTTGACTCTTGAGTCCTTCATAGCAGTGCTGCTGCTCAACCAATTGGTCCTCAGCCTCTGCTGCTACACCAGGTTGTTCTGCCCCAGGAGTAGAGCTTAGGACTTCTCCTTGTTGAACCACACGGTGTTTATGTTGGTCTAAATCTCAAGTTTCTAGAGTCCATTTGGTTTCAAGCTCTGTCATTCATGTCAGCCACCCCCTTTAGTTTGGTGTATCATCAAAATAATTTATTAACGTTCATAGTTTTTCTGGATTATGAAAACTGGAAGAAAAGGTTTTTTTGAAGTGAGCATCAGCAGCATCACAGAACTTCATTTGGAAGGAGATATTTCTTCTAAGACACCTCAAAATATGTACTGTCAGCTAGTGTTTCCATTTTCTATTGCAACTTTAAGATACTGAGCTATAATTTGATCGTCTGCTTTGTACCTTCATTTCTGTAGACCTGATTTCTTTGCTGAACGTTTCTTTGGAAGGTGTCTTTAGAAGGTGCTAAAACACCAGCATTAGCAAATTGCTCTCAGTTGATGGGTCAAGCACACAATGTCCTGAAGGGGACCAGTTATTGGAGGCATAAATTTTTTCAACAGTTTGGCAGATGATGCTCTGATTATGGAATTCTTTTGGACAAAAGGGTTGCCCAGGGAAGGTGATTAGAGAGGAATTACGTGCCAGTAGCTAAAGCACTGCCTTGGGAGGTCCCAACATGGTTCCAAAATCCACCTTAGACTTTGCATAATTGAGCAAATTAGTTTTTCTGTATGTATTTCATGTCTACAAAGTAGAGATTGCCAAGCAGAAGTTCTTGAGAATGAGTAAGTGCATTCAAGACTCAGGTGGACAGATACTGTAGTGATGGATCTGTGTTAAGGACTAAAGATGAGATTTAGTCTTGGGAAAGGGGAGGAGAGAAAGGGACAATTATGCCAACTCTAATAAACACAAAGTAGTTCACTAAGCTCTGCTGTCTTCCCAAAGGCTGCTCTGGGAAAAGACATAATGATAGAACTGGGAGTCAGGAGATCTGGGTTTTATTTTCAAGTCTGCCACAATCTTCCTTTGTGGCCCTGGGTCATTTAACCTCTGAAAAATGGGGGAAATGATAGCAGATAATTAACAACCTCACAGGAGCATTGAAAATTAATTCATTAATTTTTCTGAACTCATCAGTAGAAGGTGCAATGGAAATGCAAAGTGCTAGGGTACTTTATAAAATTGTGTCTGTTTCTTTCCCTTTACATGTGTTTTTAAAAAGTATTCTTAAATCCGTAGAAGATATATGGGGTACCTTTTGAGAGCCTGCCACGAGGAGTGAAACTAGCATTGTAAAATATTTTTATCTTTATAATATGCAAGTCCTGTGCCAGGAATGGAGTAAAATGTGCTCAGAAACCAAAACTGTAGAGCAGACTTTGGCCCATATCAAGTTGTGAGTAAGATCATCAGAAACCTGAGTTTCTGGAAAGGTTTAATTGTTTCGACTCTAAAATTTTTTCAACCAGATCACGCTTCTCCTGTTTTATGGTGAGAAACCTGTCCCTGTTGCTCCCCCACACACACACCTCCCAGCATTTTATTGCCCTAGACTTTGCTGATCATGAAAATACTAAAATTGTTTCTAGTGTTTACTGGGTAAAGGCTATTCTTTGTATCTCACCTTCTGTGTAGTAGGTCTTCAGTTAGAGTTGTGATGGGTGTATTGCTGTGGGACAAGACAGGAATTATATTTGCAGTCAATGGAACAAGCCTCTAGTGTGTGCTCTGTGTCACGATATTGTTTTAAGATTAAAAATACAAATAAGTTTTTTGCTTGGTCTCGCAATGCTAGTAGTTATTTGCTCCCCATCACTGTGTTCTTGGCTTCACTTGGGGGACATACTTATGTGAAATATTATTTAGAGGTAGATTGTTTTAAACTCTTTGAGTTGGCTTAGTTGTCTCATCTCAGTTGCTTGTGTAAACAGTGGTTTTCAGGAATAAATTTATTTTCTGTGTACAGTTTGTCTTTCGTGCTCTACCTGTAACAAGTGGAGAACCTCTACAAAATGTGACTGGTAGCAGGGTTGTGGAAGATTGTGTTTTCGGATGATGAATGAACAGAATGAGCTGACATCTTGAAAATTTAGGTTCTTTTGTCAGAAGTTCCTCGCCGGATTTGAGTGGGCTACTGAAATCTGTGGTGCCCCAAGCTGATCACAGGACCGTTGTCTTCAGAGTTTCAGGGAGGGCTGCGGTGGTTTTTGTGTTGGTTAAGTAATCTCCTTTTCTGCTCTGTTAAGATGCACCCATCCATCTTCATGCAAATCAATTTTGTCTTCTCTATTGACACAATTTGTTTTCCATTTATGTCTAGGGAACGTGACTACTAGCACATCTGTGTCTCAGATGGCAAGTGGGATCAGTCTAGTCTCCTTCAACAGTCGTCCGGATGGTATGCATCAGCGCTCTTACTCGGTCTCCAGTGCAGATCAGTGGAGTGAGGCAACAGTCATTGCAAACTCTGGCATTAGCAGTGGTAAGAAACCTGGAGCTGGGAGGGGTTATCTGCTTTGGGGTGAAGGGGGAATTTGGTAGTTTGCTTTTTTAAAAAGAGAAGGAAAAAAAAATACAACCTGATGTTCACCCAGATGCTCTGTGGGAAGCCAAACTTCCAGCATCTGAGAGAAAAAGGAGAAATTAGATAAAAGAGAACAGATCGATACAATACTTTTTCAGCAGGAAGAGCTAATGGAATTATAATACTGCTTAATTTTAATTTCAGGTATGTAATGTAGGTTGTTGACTTGATATTCTTATTTCCTTACTCTGTGTGGTAGGTATTAGCAGTAAATTATCCTCCAGATCTTTTCATCAGCATGTCCTTTCTGGGCTGTGCTCTTGCTTTAATGTATGCACACTACTGGCATAGTTGTAGTGTTTTCTCTATGGAGTGTTTAACAGTATTAAAAGGAGCAAACACTATTCCAGATGGTGTTTTGCAATGATTAGATTGTAACAGTGAGACGGGTTGTTGTTTTTAAAGGATATGCATGATATTTGGTAACAAAATGGTGCATCTGGCCTCGATGGAGTGCCTGGGAAGGACAGAGATATAATGCTGTTCACCTATAGCTGACCTGCTGCCTACACAAATTAGAGCATCCTTGGAGCAGCCGTGGCGGGTGGGCTGGGACTCGGGTGTTTCTGTTGTGGTGTGCTGCAGGGATGGTTCATACTGGTGAAGCACACTTGTCCAGGAGCATGGGGTTTAATAGGCAGTTGGAGAAACTGTGGAAAGATCATGGAACAGAGGGGAAAAGGAGATGAGCGTGTTAAAGAGAAGAATGAACTGAGAAGAAATTGAGAATATGGGTAACAGGGAGAAATGTGAATAGGACAGGAGAAGGGGGGAAGAAAGCTGTTTCTGATGGCTATCCCTAAAATAGTGAGAATTATAGGAGTATGAAAACTATTTCACATGTCCCGTATGTATGTGTATACGTGTGTGTGTATATATATACGTATGTGTCTGTATAAGGTTTGAATCTGAGTATAGCCCTGATGCTGTCTCTGGGTTTTTAAGCAGCTTTGGACAGCTTTTCAGTGCCACCTTATGAGAATGGAGGGTTTAAAGTCATGGTCATCTTGGCTCTGAGTGGCATTAGCTCTCAAGTTTGTAGTTGCTGAAGCACGTACACTTCTGTAGCACTAAACTTGTGGGCAGCACCTTCAGGAGCATGGTATTTGCATCAAAACGGTACAGATGTTAACCAAGAATTTTCTAAAGCAAGCATCCTTCATTTCAGCCTCAGTGACAGCCAGAGGTACTGCTAAGCAGCATGATAAAATGCTTCAGCGCTGTTCTCTTCTGTGTCCACCCAACTCACCCGCTCCTTTGGAAACTGGTTAGTCTTTTAGGGCAATCAGCATTCCCCTACATGGATTCGTTTAGACGGAACTGCTTTCACAGTTAAGGCCATATATTCCTCTCCCTTTCCCAAGGTGCTTTGTCATTTTAATCCACCCCAATTCTATTTCCCTTTTAAAAGGTTATACCAAAGCTTTGGCTTTTTGCACCCTTCTTTTATACTGTAGCTCTTCAAAGAAAAGTTGGAGAATATTGTATGTTTGCACTAGAAGGAAGGGAAGTGAAAACCAAGATGTAGTCTCTGGTCCTTGACACCTTGACATACCTACAGACAGGTGAGCAGATACTGTCCCCTTGCTCCTTAGTGCCAGATGTGACAACTGAGGCTGCAGTAGGGGAAAATCTTCAAAATGCAGAATTCAATGAGTTCCTAAAAGTGGCATGTAATTAATACGTTGAAAAGTAGAAATAAAACCTAAATTCCTGCCTCTTCCTTCCCCTTTACTTTGTAATGCTATTTTCTGTTTTTGAGGTATTTGCTGGACTTGTCTTTTGCTCCTGATGCTGCACTTCAGCTAGTTTTAAAGTCCCGATGAAGGGAACCTTTTCTCCTACACAAGCTCTGTACTCCAAGTATGTGCAGTACCTTTTTCTGACTTGACATTCATATGTGATTACTTCTGGATCAAGAGAGATGACAGCTAGAATTATCTATGAAATAATTATTCAAAAATGCAGATGACTGGTGGGTACTTCTGAACAAGCCTGACTTGAATCATTTCTTGCAGAGGTTCTAATCTAAAAACAAAAACAAAAACAAAAAAAACCACAAACCAAAAACCAAAAACACCACCACAAACCTATGAAAAGTTGCTTTTTAAAAATATGTGGGAAAAATTGGACTAACGGTTTTAGGCACCTAAGGTCAGCAGAAACAGAAGTATTGTGATAAAACTGCTACAAAACCTCACGAATAATTCATTACTATCAGTGTATCATCTTTCGGTAAGCTCATAGATGTGTCCTTTATGTTGGCAAGTTGACGCATGAAAAACCCTTTTTAATTTCAGGGGTTTTTTTCTCCATTAAAAGATTTCTGAATTTTAGTCATAAAAAGATAATACTGTGAAAGCAGCAGGTATGGTGAGAAGCTAAGCATCTTTTGGAATTCAAATGCCAATGTACTGGAGAATATGCCTGCTTATTGTCACATGGTTTTATTGTAGACAAAATAACATATTGGGATTCAATTTTTCTCTGCACCTTTTTTTCACATTAAATTAATACTTTGTGTGGATCCGGAGAACTTTTCAAAGTCTTCCGAACCAGACCTTTGGTTTCCTGGGGCTTCTGTCTTTTCAAGCAGCTGTGAACATCTCCTAATTAGATAAATTACTTTGTAGTGGGCAGAGCCACAAAACAGGAGGTGCTGGTTAAATTAAAGGGGAAAAATAGAAGAATCCATTCTCTGAAATGGAATGCCCCACTGCTTTATGACTATTACTGTTGTAAGGTTTTACATTTAAGTACCTGAGGTTTAAAATTAAATGTCTAATATAATTTGGCACTGGTAACATGAAGCCTGTGACTGCCCTCGGAGAAAATCTAGACAGCTTAGTTCAGTGTTTCAAATCACTGTCTGCTTGATAGTGAGCGAATCGTGCAACTGGCTCACTATTTAGCTAAATACCACCTGCTGTTTAGCATAATTTTAAATGCAGTAACATATTTGCCTTAAAAACTCAGAAATCTGAGAAGACTGCAAGACAGCAGCACATGAAAAATTAATTCTTTTTACTTTTTTTTTTCCTTACTCTTGTAAGTACTTGACAAAAGTAATTTTAGCAGCAAGAGAGAATAAAAACTGGGGGCAGTAAATCCCTGTCCGGGAACCTCTTGTGTAGATTCTTTATGGACCCAGAATTGATCTACATGTCAGATCCTGATGTAGTTTAAACTGTTTATCACCCTAATGGTGGTAGAGAAACCATGAACATCAACTTACAATCCTCCGTGAAAGAAATTGGTGTTTGCAGTCAATGAAGGAGCAGCTTAGCTTTATTGATAGATTTAGAACAATTACTGCTGCTGCAACTATTGGCCGAGAGGTTTTCCTGGATCGCATTGGAAGCCTGCAATTCTTTTTCTTTGATAAATCTTTTCCTTGATGGATCATTTTTTTTCACCTGGAATTATCTGTAGTTGCTCACTGCTGGGGAATAAGAGGGTTGTCTGGTCTCAGGGGAGCCATCAGTAACCTGTTCAGGTGTTAAAAGTTTGGTTCAAGAATGTACATCTGCACAGTTCCTCCTCTGCAAATTCAGCTTTTACTTTATTCCTTATATTCTTTTTCTTCTGCAGATTTTCTTAGCTAGAAAAGCAGGACTGTTTTGAGGAATCGAGGAAAAGCTGGCTGGGAGTACTGTTGTGAGGCATCTCAAACTTGAGTACAGAATGCAGTTTTTTCCTATGGAAAAGAGATTAATATTAACTAGTGGTGTTGCTGCCATTAATGAGAGATGGTGCCACCCTGCAGTCTTTGCAGTTTGTACATCTTTAAAGAACTGGAGAGACAGATCCTCAAACTTGGCATCAGAGCTGCTTTTTTGATAGAAGAAACCACAGCCAGCTGTATTAGATTGCAAAAATTACGTTCATGAGACTTAACTCACAGAAGACTGAGGATGTTATTTCCTATCTGGGGATGAAGTAGAAGCTTTTTCATTCTCTTTTTAAATGTCAGGTTTTATAGTTTGGCTTCTAAGACTATGTCCTGAGAATATCAGGGAGGAATTTCTTTCTTAAAGTTACAATATTAAGCACTTCTGAAACAGTGCTGCAAACAGTAGTTTGCATGGGACAGGGATTTCTTTCCTCTGGACTTGTAAATTGTCATTTGAATTCTAGCATGATATAAAATTCTGCAGTAAATCAAATATCTGTTTAAATATCATCCACTTAGGCTTTATCACTGTACAATTGCTTGTACGAGCCATTTGATCTCAGCTGTAATTTATGTAAGTTGTAATACCTGGTGTCTTTTGAGTTTGTAACAGTTTGGTGTTAGGGTTTATTAATGTAAAATTGAGTTCTCGCTGTGCCATGGGGTGTGAGAGGTCATTTGAGTGTTTATATTAACACAGACCTTATAACTTGCCTTACTTTTCTAATTGTAAGCTCTTGGAATGATTAAATGATGGAGTCTTGTGCTATACATTCAGCTGGTTGGTTCAACTTGCTTCTGACAGTCATAACAAATTCATTTAAAAAGTGAACCAGAAAACATTGTTTAGAGTTGTTGGAATTCAATAGGCAAGTTCTTGACTAAAATAAATTACATCATTTCAAATAGATTTACAGAATTTCAGAATTATTTGTGTTAAGTGTATATAGATGGTTTAGGTTGGAAGAGCTTTTTTCCTCCTTTTATAGAAGGAAATAATTACTGAAAAGCAACTATACAGTAATTTTCTCCTTTTTTCTAGCTGCTCTAGGGCTACTCTGGGGTTTCCTGCAGTTGGTAATATTTAATATTGTAAAATTTGCCATGTATAAGACAGTATATGTACAAGTAGTTTACATTGTCTTTAAGAATAGGAAGGAAAAGCAAATATTCATGTAGTTTTCGCAGCCTTTTGTGATCAACAGACAAATTGCTTCTGGCAAGT